TAGTAACAGAAGTGAGAATGGAATTAAATCAATTCTTACATTATCAGGACTGGGAATATTAGCATTGTTTTCAATCCTTTAATTGAATAAACTGGTTTTATAATTTTTTTAAAATTTTACTTAAAATTTTTATACTTTTATTTTTTAAAATTGTTATGTTTGTAAACAGCCCGTTGAAAAATATTTTCACCTTACTAATAGGGTAAGATGAACTTTTAAAATTTATATAAATATGATGTAATTATGAGTAATATTAATGTAAAAAAAACTAAAAAAACACCAAATAAATTATAATTTTAATTTAAAAATTTAAAAACACTGTTTAAAAAATAGTAAAATAATTGTATAAATTTTACCTAAAATATAATTTTTTAATATTTTTATTTAAAAAATACAATGATCATTTTTTTGAACACAACTGTAGTACAGTTGAAAAAGAATAGCTAACCTTCATTTAAGGTTTTAAAATTTTTACAAATAGCCTGTGGTTAGAAAATTAAAGCCTTTACTGATTCGAAAATTTAACTTTCCGTGATTCTTCTTCTAATCAATGTTTTCTCATTGGAAAATTTAATTCACTTAATATAACACCTTCTTCATATATATAAATGGTAATAAAAATGTGGTTGTTGATAATATCTTTAGATTTGTTTTAGATGAACCTTTTGTTCAAACACTATATACACCTACTAAATCTTCAAATGGTTTAATTCCATTGATGAAGTCGTTAATTGAAGAACAGTCTTAGTATTGATGAAATAATAATTAAAAGTCTTGAAAACAAAATTTAAATATAGATTTTATTATAGTTATTAATGATAAATGGGTTTTTATTCCATAAGAGTAACTTAGTTAGTTCATCATTAAAACCTATGAGTTATTGAAGCAACAAGGTGCTCTATGCTATAAAAAAGTTTTATTATGGAGACCATTTGAAAAGACCAATAGAGAATTTCATTTATAGGTGTGTTAATTGTCGGACTTTTAAAAATTATTTTAGGATTATAGTTTGTTTAATTATCTAAATCAAGAAACTTTTAATGATACGATTACCTTTATTTAGTTATTCACTATAATATCAGGGGTTTTATAGAAGGGTGAGGTAAAATATATATTCCTTACTATTGATATGAGTAGAAGGTTAGTTTGTTTACATGCTTTAAAGAAACTTATCTCTATTAATATACTTGCTGCAATCAAAACTTTATTTTACAATTATAATGTTCCTAAAGCATTATCTACTGATCAGAGCAACCAGTTTGTTGCACAGCTTGTTGTATATCTTTGTGTAAAATATAATGTTAAGAAAATTTTTCAACTCAATATATTACCCACAAGGTAATTTAATGGCTGAAAAAATCAATCGAGCAATTATTGAAAGCTTTTTTACTAGAAAAACTTAGACTTTTTAATGTCATAAAAAGATTGAATTGACTCTAAACCTATCTCACCATTCATCATTAAATTCTTTACCATTAGAGTTTATAAACATACCAAGTTTTTTGAATTTTTTAAAAACTCCAACTTAATATTAATTTTTTTAATGATAAGAAAAACATGTGTGTTAATAAAACTAAAAAGATAATAAACTTCTATTAAAAATACAGAAACGTCTAAATTAGACAATAAGTTTATAGATCCTTTAATGTGATCAGAATAAATAAGTTTAATAAAGTTGTAATACCTGATGTTATTGATAAATACATAACTATTAATATAAGTAAGAACTAAAAATTTTAAATTACTTAAAATGATGTCGTTCTATGTCAATGATTTAAAAAATAAAAATTTTAGTGAAAATTTAAAAATTTTTATTTTGAGTGCCGAAACCTCCAGTAGTAGTGGTAACTAGTTTATTTAATCTGTCTAAAGAAGACACCTTGTCTTCTATTTCATCTTCCTTGTAATCATTAATATTATATACTCCTTTGTATATATCCTCTGTCTCTCTACCTATCATGAGGGGTTATATTCTTCTAAATATTTATAAACAAGCTTAATTAAAATATTAATAAATTACATTCCAAAATTATAAACAAAACAAAATTACCACAAAACAACTAAAAGGATTTTACATATTACTACATTGAGAATTAATAAATCTCTTTTTTAATTAGTAATATTAAAATATTAACGTTTGTTTGTAAACAATATAAATATTAATAAATTAGTTACCCATAATTTTTTGTCAACACCCAATAGTAGCAACTTAGGTGATGGTTTAAAATAATAATGATAATAATATTTAATAAAATCGGTGTGTATGTTGAAGTAAACGATGAAAAAAAGGTTTTAGATTTAGAACAAATTGTTTTTACTAATTTTAATAAGTGAAATTAATTTTTAGTTTTTCACAGAACAATATATTATTAATGATAGACAATTAACTCATTGTTTTAATAAAAAAATAGTAATTTTTAAACTAAATAAAAATTAAACAAACATAATTAATATGATATAAGTAGCTTCATGAACTAATTTTTAATAATAAAAATATTTGCAAAAACTTTATATTTAATAAATTTAAAAAATTTCTGATCTTTGATTTTTAAATTTATAATTTACAAAAATTACTTGATTTTTTCTTTAATTACATCTTTAAAATAAAAAATTAATAATCTTATTTTAAAGATATTTTTAATGTTCTTAATATTTAATTTTTAAATGTTTCTACAGAGATCTTGTATAACCACACCTATTGAGAGCATGTTTAACACTAGTTCTCTTTTCACTCATTATCGACTGTGTTTGTTCTTCGTTAAACACAATCCAGTTGTTTTAATATCTTCTTTTTTATAGTAATATCTTCTAAAAAATCTATATCGATCATTTTATTAATATTCTGATTTAATTAATAGATTTCTTATAAATCTTAATTGAATGATTTGATAACTGAGAATCAAATATTGAATTAAATCATTAAAATGCTGAATTATTTAACTCAGGTAACACTTTTTAAATAATTTTATTTTTAAAAAACATTTCTTTTTTTATTGTAGATTTAAATATTGTAGATTTAAATTTTTGGTAAAAACATTTTTATTCCAATTTTTTTACTTTTTACTTTAATGCGAGCACAAAGTTTTCTATAGAAAATTAAATTTAAAACAAAGAAATCTATAAAAACTTGTATCTATTGAAAACAAAAAAACTTTAAAAGACTTGTGTTTTTACTTTCCCTCCAAAAACAAATTTTGTTTGTTAAAAGAAATCAATCATGCTTTTTATGCTAAAAACTATTTAAACATATTTTTATATACCCCTACTTACTATCAGGAGAGCAGACAGTCAAAGACGCGGAGATATGACTGAAGTTAAAGTTTATTTGAATTGAGATGTG